CTAGGCTGACCCCATGAGTGCTATAAAAGATAGGAGACTTGAGTCTAGTACTCCAGAAATACAAGTTAATATTCAAATAAAGGAAAAAAAAAAAAAAGGAAAACGTAGAACCCTAAAGGAAAACATAATGTGTAAAAACCAGGAAAAACGTCCATTAACTTTGAAAGAGATAAAATATGGAAATCCAAGAAGGAACTAACTTACAAATGACCTTTAAAGAATATGGATTTAAAATCAAAGTTTTTAAGCAGAGAAACATGTCTAAAAGTTATTTTAGGGGCCTCCCCGGTGGCACAGCGGTTGAGCGCTGGGTTGCGAAGCTGCTCGCGGCCTCTGCGGCGCCGGTTCGATCCCCGGCTGCTCCCCGGCCACTGGAGGAGGGTCCCACATGGCGCGCAGACCTCTCCTGCCGCCCGCTGCTCCCCTCAGCAGTGTACTTCGGTCCTTCTGCCTGCTCTGCTCCCCGCTCTGGCTCTGGTGAATTCTCTCACCCTCCCGCGCTTCTGACTGTACCCAGTGCATGTATAAACAAAACAAACAAACAAACAAATAAATAAATAAAACATGCCTCTATTTAAAAAAAAAAATAAATAAATAAAAGTTATTTTAGGAAAATTTCTACTAAAAGTGTGTGGCATAAAATGAAAAGATAAATTAGGAGAGTACTGCAACTATTTCAGGAGAAAAAAAAAATTGAACAAAGCTAGTGACAAGTACAAAAATAGAGAAACCAAAAAAAGAAATAAAGAAGACAGGAGGTGGTGGGTTGTGGACATGCTGACTTTTTTGGTTAACATTAGAATGGCGAGTGCAAGGAACCAAGCTGGCAGCGGGAAAGCAAGGAAAGCTAAAAGGATACCAAAGCTAAAGGCGACTTTGGAATCAATGCCAGTGGGTAGAGAATGGGCAGAAAAGTAAATCCTTTAGTATTCCTGATTGGGAAGAAAAAAAGATCTTCACAGATATGACAGCTAACAAAATTAAGACTAGGAGTGTTATTTAAAATTCTAAGAAAAGTGCCTCCTTGGTGGTGCAAAGGGTTAAGCACAGCACTGTGAAGCTGTCTGCAGCCACTGCAGCCTGACTTCAATCCCAGGAGCTGACACATAGGGTGCAGCAGACCTCTCCTATCTCGCCTACTGCTCCCCTCAGCAGTGTATTTCAGTATATCCACCTGTTTTGTTCCCCACTCTGCCTCTGGTGACTCCTCTCACCCCCCACACCTCTGGCCCGTACCCCAGTTCTTGTACGCACAAATAAATCTTTAAAAATAAAATAAAATTCTAAGAAAAGTCCCAAACTGAGGGCCTCCCCAGTGGTGCAGCAGTTGAGCACAGGGTTGCAAAGCTGCCCGTGGCTTCTGCAGTGCCGGTTCGATCCCCAGTTGCCAGGCGAGGGTCCCACATGGAGAGCAGACCTCTCCTGCCGCCCGCTGCTCCCCTCACTGGTGTACTTCGTCAGTCTGCCTGTTCTGCTCTCTGCTCTGTCTATGGTGAATTCTCTCACCCTTGCATGCTGACTGTGCCCAGTGCTTATATAAATAAATAAATAAATAAATAAATAAATAAATCTTAAAAAAAAAAAAAAAAGGCGCCCCAAAATGAGTTTCAAGGTTTAGTGCAATTCATAAACGAAAATATATTTACCTGATTGTTCCGGTTTTCCTGCAGTGGAGAAGTAGCATCATCAGGAAACGAGCTTACATTTCTCCTTTTCAGCATCTGGTCATCTTTCTTTGCTTTTCTCAGTTCCACATTAACTTCTATTCTGCGTCGCCTCATTTCCTTGGGAACAGATCATTTCCACCTATTATACCAAGTCTTGTGCCAAATGGGGGCTTTTTTTTTCAAATCCCCTTTAAGTTTTTACCCCTTCCCAAGTATCCAGAAATTTAAAAAAATACAAAAAGAATGCAACAGAAGGTACTCACTGTACTATCTTTCCCCTTGTTCTTGAATCTGGTAAGGCGGGCAGCTGGCAAGTTAGTATTCTCATTGGTGGACATGGTTATGAGACAAAGGAGAAAAGCTAGAAAACAAGGGAGAGAAAAAAATTCTCCTTTCTTCTTTATGTCAGTAAGAGCACTTACAGAAATAGCAGGCATATACTGACTTCACAGCACAATCCTAAGAGAGGAACTTCAGGGCCTCCTTGGTGGCACAAGGCATTTGAAGCACAGCACTGTGAAGCCATCCCCCGGCTGGCAACCCACGCCGGGCAGCAGACCTCTCCAGCCTCCCCAGCTGCTCCCTCAGCAGTGTACTACTTCGGTCACTGTGCCTGTTCTGGTCCCCGCTGGTGAATACTGTGAATACTCTGCACCTCTGGCCTGTACCCTAGTTCTTGCATGCATAAATAAATCTCAAAAAAAAAAAGAGGAGGGACTTCATTTCTCAGCGCTATGAAATGATTGTGGCGCAGAGTATTCGTCCCCTCCCCTCTGAGGGGCTGCAACTTCCAGAGCAGTGCAGTCCATCAGGAATGTCATGGAAGCTGCTACATTTAAATTTCCTAACATCCACAGCTAAAAAAAAAAAGAAACAAGTGGAAAAAACTACTATTTCATTTAAACCACCAGAACCAAAAGTCTCATCTCTACCTATTATTTATTTTTTAAATCGCGGTATCGGACATTCGCTCCCCTCAAGCATTCCTGGAAGGCACGCGGGCCTCAAGTTCACGATGTCCTCGGCCCGAGCCACGTCCGCCGGCGGATGCCGCGCGGGACAGGGTGACCGCGGCCTCCAGAGTCCACGAACAGTTTCCCGAAGACAGAGGAGGGGGGCAGAGCGGGCAGCTAAAATCTGTGCCCTAAGGGAGCCTCCTCGGGAGGCTCCATTGTCTTCGAAATGGCCCGAAGCGCCATCTCCTCCTCCCTGGAAAACGAAGCTCAGCTCTGCGCCCGGCAGCGCGTCCTCCCGCCTCCCCGGCCCGGCCTGTCAACACGGAGCCCCGCCCGCGCCCACCCGCGGGGCTCGGGGGCTGCCACCGGGCTGGGGCAGCCGCGCTTCGCGGGGAGCCTGCGCGCCACCTCCCGGGGTGACCGAAGGAAAGTCCTTCCAATTTCGCTTTCCAGCCCAGCGCGTCCCTCTGCCAGCTGCGACGCGGCCGGGCCGGGGCCTGCGCGGAGAGCGCGTCTCCCAACCGCCGCCTCCAGGCCAGGCCAGGCCGGCCCCTGCCCCAGCCCCAGCCCGGACGCTGCCGCGGAGCCGGCGGAGGAGGGCCCCGGCCCCCCCGGCCCCGGCTCCCGGGCCCGACCCCGCGGAGGATCGGGGCCCCCGGCGCCACGGGCTCCCGCCGCGGCTCGCACCGCCTCGGCGCCCCGCACCCGAGCCCCGCAGGCCGAACAGCCGCCGCGCCAACGTCCGGCGCCGGAGGCCTCGCCACGCAGGGCGGCCGCGGCCAGGCCGGGCCTCCCCTCCCGCCGCCCGCGAGGCGAGCGCGGCCGACGGCTCCGCCGCTGCCGCTCCGGCCAGACCGCGGCCCGAGCGCTCACCTTGCGGGCGGCCCCGGCTTCCACAGGCGGCGGTGCGGGCGCAGGTGCAGGTCAGTGCCCGGGAAACGTCCACCTCGCTTCAGCCCGAAGACGGTGTGGCTCGTGCAGCCGGCCGGCGCGATTTAAATTTCCCGGTGGCTCCGCATTCCGATTGGCTGGTTCGAGCCCATGCTCTGCACCCATTGGTGGATTTGAAAAACACGTTAGGAGGGGGGAGGTCAGAGGGCCTGGGAGACAGGGAGGTAGCCTCGCGAGAGCTGAGAGCGGCCGGCCGATCCCAGAGCTCCTTGCAGTCGGGAGTGGGACGACTCCGCGGCTCGGCGTGCGGCGCGCAGGGCTGGCCCGGCTGGGCGCGCCCCGGCCCCGCCCGCCCCCGTCCCGAGGACTGGGAGTCGCTTCCCCTGGGGGGCAGCCCTCACCCGCTACCGCGAACGACCCCCCCTAGATCGTTCCCCTTAAAAATCATTATACAGGGGCCTCCGTGGCGGCGCAAGGGGTTCTCTAAGCACGCTAAAGCAAGCCGCAGCTACTGCAGCACGAGTTCGATCCCCGGCCAGGGAGATACCCACAGGGCGCAGCAGACCTCTCCTGCCTCGCCCACTGCTCCCCTCAGCAGTGTATTTCAGTCAATCTGCCTGTTCTGTTCCCCACTCTGTCTCTGGTGAATCCTCTCACCCCCACCCCCAACCTCTGGCCTACACCCCAGCTCTTGTATGAATAAATAAAACTTACAAATTAAATAAAATCTTTATACAGAAGTATATTGCTAAACATTTCTGACCACTCCTCCTGGCCCCATAGGACACCGAAGAAACTTGGCAGGGGGTTCTGGAGGTGAGGAATAAGGCAGATTTGTGTTGCATTTTAGGGTTTTTTTTAAAAAAAACGTAGTTATAAAAATCTAGAGAAGCCACAAATGTGGTAACAAAAGGTTTATTATGGGGCTTCCCCGGTGGCGCAGCGGTTGAGCGTGGGGTTGCGAAGCTGCCCGCAGCCTCTGCAGTGCCGGTTCGATCCCCGGCTGCTCCCCGGCCACCAGAGGAGGGTCCCACATGGCGCGCAGACCTCTCCTGCCGCCCGCTGCTCCCCTCAGCAGTGTACTTCGGTCCGTCTGCCTGTTCTGCATCCTGCTCTGACTCTGGTGAATTCTCTCACCCTCCCGCGCTTCTGACTGTACCCAGTGCTTGTATGAATAAATAAATAAATAAATAAATAAATCTTAAAAAAAAAAAAAAGGTTTATTATGCATGTTTCTCCAGGTTTTTAAACAATTTCAAATATAGAAGAATTGTACATTTTTATGTGTTTTGCAAGTGTTACCATTTTTCCCACTTGCTAGTTCTATGTGTGTGTATATATACTATTTGTACTATTTGAAAGTAAGTTTCAGAAATCATGTCTCTTTACCCCTAAATATTTGAGCAAATATCTTCTAAGAATAAGGACATTCTCATATAACCACACCACAATTCCCAAATTTAGGACAATTGAACTTGCCTGCTATTTTTACCGTATAGTCCTTGTTTAAATTTTGCAAGTTGTTCCAATAATGTTCTGTGCTGGGTTAGACATTTCTGAATAAAATGTTTGCACTTTTCTTGCCATGTATTTTTTTCCCCTAAAGCATCAAAGATGGTAATCAGAGTCTTAGGATTATGAGTGATTTCTGTTGCCTGTGCAATTTTTCTACATTCTAAAAAGTATTTTTAGAAAATTATATTGGTTTCTCTTTTAATATAAACAAACTCAGTGAACTTTGTCCATCCTTGCAGGCATTTATACCAGTTTTGCTCACTGCATAGCTGCCTGAGGTTCATAGCAGGCCAATGCTGTTCCACCTACCCGATCAGCAGAATCCCATGCCCTTAAGTGCAAAATGTGGAAGGAATTCACCCCTAAACTAGTCACTGTAGGACATTCTTTTGGTTAGGGTCAAGCATGTGACCTAAGTTCATCTGGTTGAAAGCCTATGCCTTTCCTCTAATGATTGGAGGTAGGAAAGCAGGCTCTGTTCTATTGAACTGAGGGATGTAAGTTCCAGAAATCTGAAGACTATTGCAGAGGAACCATGAAAGTGCTGATGAACAGCCTGCCCTAACTCTGAACCAGTTAAGTGGGATCTCCTTATGCTTGAAACTGTTGAGTACATGTTCTAAATGTTTACATATATCAATACATTTACTCTTCACAACTCTGCAAGGTTCCATTTCATAGAAGACTGAATCATGAGGGGTTAAGTAACTTGTCTAGGTTCACACAGCCAGCAAATGGGAGAGAGAGAATTCAGACCCAGGCTAACTGTTTCCAGATCCATGCTGTCAACAACTATTCTGTGAGCTGTAAACAACTCAAACATTAAGTGAAAATTGCCTTTGAAAGACACTACTGGGCCTCCTCCCATGGAGCAAGGGGTTAAGACACAACCTATGAAGGTGTCAGAGGCCCCTGCAGCATGAGTTAGATTCCCCCTGTTGGCCACATGGCGCAGCAGACCTCTCCTGCCTCATAGGCTGCTCCCCTCAGCAGTGTATTTCAGTAGCTCTGCCTGTTCTGTTCCCCACTCTGTCTCTGGTGAATCCTCTCACCCCTTACACCTCTGACTTACATCCCCGTTCTTGTATGCATAAATAAGTGTGCTTCGGTCTTTCTGCCTGCTCTGCTCCCCGCTCTGGCTCTGGTGGGTTCTCTCACCCTCCCGCGCTTCTGACTGTACCCGGTGCTTGTATAAATAAATAAATAAATAATAAATAAATAAATCTTTAAATAAATAAATAAATAGATCTTTAAAAAAAAAAAAAAGTAACTCAGAAGCAAAACTGCACCTTTGGTGCCACTTTTGACTCTTCGTAACTATTCTCCTTTAGAGAAACAGCTCTTGACTACCTACCAGACACTAAATGACCATGACCTGTGAGCTGCTCACATGAATTGAGATTTATCTGACCTCCCATAACCATGAAGTTGGGCTAGCTTAGTACTACCAGGGCAAGGAGGAGGGGAGGGACTTGGACCAACCCCACTCTCCGGGCAGACATTAATTATATCAACAAAAGACTTACACTCCTAGCGTTCTGACTTCAGGCCGTCAGTTTATGTCTGTGGCCTCATGGGGCATTCTCTGTGACCAGTTCATGAAGAAAACAGAAATCAAGACAGGTGCTCTCTCTGCCTGTGATGTTGGCATCAGCTGGAGTATACGGCTCTTGGTATACAGTTTCTCTCAGATGCTGCCCTGGAGGAAAGTAGAGCGATAAACTTCTCTACTGGTGAAAGCCTGAGTGCTACATCTGATACCCCCTTTTTTTTTTTTTTTTTTTTTTTTTTCTCTTAATAGAGGCATGCTTTATCCATTTATTTGTCTGTTTGTTTGTTTATACATGCACTGGGTACAGTCAGAAGCGCGGGAGGGTGAGAGAATTCACCAGAGCCAGAGCGGGGAGCAGAGCAGGCAGAAGGACCGAAGCACACTGCTGAGGGGAGCAGCGGGCGGCAGGAGAGGTCTGCGCGCCATGTGGGGCCCTCCTCCGGTGGCCGGGGAGCAGCCGGGGATCGAACCGGCGCCGCAGAGGCCACGGGGCAGCCTCGCAACCCAGCGCTCAACCGCTGCGCCACAGGGGAGGCCCCCCTTTTTTTTTTCTGAAAGGGTACATTTCTGAGTTGAGGATCTGATTCCCAAATAGTGAAAATTAGTATGTCTGAATGGTCAATATAATGGGCATTCATTGTTTATGTTGCCCGGTATTCATTTTTCTGTTAAAAGAGTTATTTTTTACTTTCCTTTGGGAGTCACTGCTCACTCAGACCAGCCCAGGTGGTTGGAGAGGTAGATTTCACCCACTCTTCCTCAAGTAAAGCTCCTTGATTTCAGGGGGTGGGGGGAGCGCGGATTCTTTCCCCTAGGTTGCAGAGATTGGCTCAGGAGGAGCGTGTGACTCAATGTGGCGTGATAAGAGTAGGTTCGGGACTTCTTCATCTTCATGATTCTGCAAGGTAGAATTACTATCTGTTCTGTGGAGGGGAAGGAGATACACTCCCTCTGCACTTGGAATTATGAAATGGATGTAAAATCTGCAGCTACTGTAAATACTCGCCACTGTGAGGAAAGAACCTGTTTGAGAATGCAGTAACAAGGAGCAGAAGAGAATAGAGAGAAATCAGATCCAGACGATACTGTTTAAGTCCCTGATCAAGACACATTTGTACATAGGCCTGTCTCTGAAGTTTCCAGTTATATAACTGGGTACACTCCCTTTTTTGCTTAAGCCAGTTTTGGGTTGGGTTTTCTGCCTCTTGCAACCACGGATTTATGACAGAGTCACACACAATATAGCCAGGGATTTGAGATAGGACTGATGACAAAGGTAGTTTGGGTGAAGGAATCGGATTTCTCGGAATGGATTTGGAGGGTGTGAATGAGTCATGTTCACCCAAAGAACTCTATTGTAGCACGAGCTTTAAAATTCAGTGATGGGTGATGTACTGCTTGCGGATACCCATTACCTTCCTTCCCCACCAGGCCAGTGCTTGATAAATGGGAGATTATGAATTTCGTGGCCAAGGTGTCAGAGACAGAGGCTGCACATAGACTCAGCAACATCCACTTCTTGCTATTGAGGCTAATCTGGCTACTGGTGTGCACCCAGCTCTGACGCTGCCTTCACACCTTGAAGGGCCCAATTCAATTACCTGGTAGTCAGAACACTAACACTGCACTTCTTCCACCAGGGATGAAGCAGAATATAGCTAATCTGGATTCGGGCTGTTTTTACTTCCCAATTTGTCATTTTGCTGTCACTACGATCATGTTAATATTAGTAGTTAACTTGAAATGATAGGTCAACTTCAATTCTTTGCTCGGCTTGCTCCTATTTTATACAATTTCGCAACGAACAGATACAAAGTACCTAAAAAGAAGACCAGGTCCTCCCTGGTGGCGCAGGGGTTAAAGTCAGCACTATCCAGCTGTCTGGAGCCACTGCCCGTTGAGTTCCTGCCAGATGAGTTCGATCCCCAGCCAGGGAGCTGACCCATATGAGGCCCCAGACCTCTCCTGTCTCCACGGCTGCTCCCCTCAGCGGTGCATTTCAGTAGATCCAACCGCCTATTCTGCTCCCCACTCTACCTCTATGAGTCCTCGCACCTCTGACCTACACCCCAGTTCTATGCATAAATAAATAAAAATATATCTTTTAAAAAAAGGGCCAATACGTGTATTTTTTTTAAATCACAACTGCATCTTCCTTGTAAGCAATAGTATGGTGGATGGAATCAGAAACGCTCCATCTTTATGCAAGACGTAGCTTTAGAATTATATAATTATGTATTTTTATATATAAAATTATATATATTTACATACATATATTTACACCCTATTTTGTGGTTAGGGACCTCATTTTATCTATTTCTCTTCAGTCCAGAGGGAAAGAGGAGACAGGGGAGGAAAGGGGCAGCAGACGAGCGGGGGAGAAGCGCCGACCCGGGGTCCGCTCTCCCCGGGGACCCCGCGCCGGCCGGGCAGGGCCCCCGCGGAGGACGCAGACCCGCAGGGGCGACGGGGCGGGACCTGAGAACTTTCTAGACTGAGATCCTGGACCCGCCCCAGTACACAGAACTAGAACGGGGGGCAGGCAGGCGCAGAATTTTACTTAGAGTTCCCCGGTCGAGCTTCACGAGCCCCCAGGGCCGAGCACCGTGCGAGAAGCAGCCCCCCAACAAGGCACCCCCAGAGCCGGACACGCACCTCCGGGACTGCGCAGGCGCGTGGGGAGTCGGGCGCCAGTCCGGCCGAGAGCGCAGGCGCGTGGGAGTCGGGCGCCAGTCCGGCCGAGAGCGCAGGCGCGTGGGAGACGGGTGCCAGTCCGGTCGAGAGCGCAGGCGCGCGTGGCCGCCGCCCGGGGCGGCTCCCAAATCACTCACCGCCCAACGCTAGTCCGCGGAGCGCGGGGGCGGGGCGCGATGATGGCATCACGTAAGGAGACGGTGTGAGAACCCGGATCCTGTGGTGACCCAGTGGCCTAATGGATAAGGCATCAGCCTCCGGAGCTGGGGATTGTGGGTTCGAGTCCCATCTGGGTCGTGCCGGAGTTATTTTGGTGGTGAGGCAGGTGATGGCAGGCACTGCTTGTAATAAAGCGAATTTTGAAATGTGGCTATTTCGCTCTTCTCTACAGCGATCTCTGTGGTGATAGTATTTACAGGTTAGGAAATGCATATCCTCCTTTTAAAAACTGTAATTGTGAGCTTGCAATTGGAAGTGAGATCTGACGCCAAGAAGGATATATTATTGATTTAAATCTGTCCTTTAAAATGTGCACTTAAAAAGCCCAAAGTGCTAAGTGGACAGATGGAATCACTTATTGTTCTACTTATCTTTTCTAGCTGAGCTTCCCGGAGGGGCAACCACACTTACAAAAACTTTCTCCTTATCCTTATCCAAGAGGTGAGTACACACATTCCATGATGCTAAGTCCAAACAAATTTATCTACAGTACTAAGGGGTTCATAGAAAAACAAACACACATTTACAACATACACAAATAATAAACATAATTTATGGTTTCTGTTCTCAAATGATTATGAACAACAAACTGTACTGAGAACGCACAGTGTGTGTGTGTGTCTTGAAAATTAGCGCAATAAAAGAAATAAAAAGAATTTATTAAGCCTTTCAGACTGGCTCAATGGGACTGGCTTGAAAAGTTTAAACTCTTCTTGCAAAATTTGTAGGAGTTATCAGTGATAATCCTCTCTTCTTGCAAAATTTGTAGGAGTTATCAGTGATAATCCTCTAATTCCCTTAAAAACAACTCTGTACTGAATGGGATGTGGAATCCGGGATATGAACCTGAAACAGAAACAGCACCTTAGTGGGGAAACTCTGGTATCTAAGTAGTCTGAATTGAGCTACTAGTGCAACAATACTCATTTCTTAAATGTAGCTGGTAATGTAAGATGCTAACCTCCAGGAGGGCCCTCTATTTTATCTTTGCAATGTTCACGTAAATTTGAAATAATTCCAAAATTAAAGATTTATTTAAAAAAACTGAACAACCAATGGAGAAATTTAACTGATAGCCTTACTCCCCTTGTGAAGCTTAGGAATGTAGTGCTGAAGTTTAAACCAGGACACATTAATAAATAGAGGGCCACCCTGGTGGTGCAAGGGGTTAAGGCTCAGCACTGTGATGCTCTCTGCAGCATGAGTTCGATTCCCAGCCAGGGAGCAACCCACATGGCGCAGCAGACCTCTCCTGTCTCGCCTGCTGCTCCCCTCAGCAGTGTATTTCAGTCTGTCTGCCTGTTCTGCTCCCCACTCTGTCTCTGGTGAATCCTCATCCCCGAGACCTCTGGCCTACACCCCAGCTCTTGTATGCATAAATAAATAAAATAAATCTTTTTTTTAAAAAAACAAAACAAAACAAAACAAAACAGGGCCTCCCCGGTGGCGCAGCGGTTGAGCGCTGGGTTGCGAAGCTGCCCGCAGCCTCTGCAGCGTCGGTTCAATCCCCGGCTGCTCCCCGGCCACCGGAGGAGGGTCCCACATGGCGCGCAGACCTCTCCTGCCGCCCACTGCTCCCCTCAACAGTGTACTTCGGTCCTTCTGCCTGCTCTGCTCCCCGCTCTGGCTCTGGTGAATTCTCTCACCCTCCCGTGCTTCTGACTGTACCCAGTGCTTGTATAAATAAATAAATAAATCTTTAAAAAAAAAGAAAAAACAATAACAGAGAAGCCCAGGGGATCACTTCCCGTTCATCCCTGATTCATCCCTGGTCACTCAGAGTCAGTGGCCCCCTTGGTCCTTGCAAACAGCTAGTGCTCAAAAAATCTGAACTGCTCTGTCCCTCCCTCCCTTCTGTAGGCAGCATGTGGGGGCAATGTCTCCCTGGTCCCCCAAAGCAAGATCCTTCTCCTAAGGAAACTCCTTGGAAGGTGTTGATACCGGAATTGTCAGGCCTAGTCTCCCAGTCAGGAACTGATTCCAGGCCTAAAAACCCTAGCTTGCCCTGTCTCAGTGTCTACCCTTTGGCTTCCGCTGGTCTGCTCTGGCCCACAGGGTGCTCAACCGGCTGGCCCATCAATCCACCCCTTCAGTCTCCTTCCCAGTCCGGCTTCTTCTCTCTAGCAGATGTTTTGGTTTTGTGGCTCAGGCACACTGATTCATTCAGCTGAAGTCAGAAAACCTTGCAGTCTACCGAATACCCCAGAGTCATGTCAATCAACACAAATTTTGCATTTTATCTTCCCTCAGCTCACCTATTCTATCTCCTGTCTCAGAGGAAGAGACTTTGTTCCTACAGGCCCAGGCCAGACCCTCTCTCTGACTTTGCTCTGACCTGGCCTCGGCCCCAGGCCTGGGTACCCCAGACTGTCTCCAGGCAGCCAGGCTGCATCAAAGGGGTCTCCCTGTGCCCAGCATCGCCTTTTCTCCCAGGCATGGAAACCTACTCGCTCACCCCTACACACACTCCTCCCAGTGACCTCATAATTGGCAAGTTTAAGAAACACCAGTCAGTCTCAATCTTGCTTGAGCTTACCCTGAAATTTGAAAATCTGAACTAGCCTTTCCTTCTGGAAGCTCACACTTGCCTTCAGCTTGCAGCTTGCAGCTTGTTCTCCAAAGAACTTCTCACTCTCCATTACTATAGTTCCTTCTTGTTTCCAGCAACCGGAAGAGATCAGTGACCCCAGCCCTGTCAATCGGGATTCACTGGAAACACCTGGGGGGAGAGGAGGCACTAAATAGAGGGTGGGGGGTGCGTGCACGGCTGGAGGAACAGACTTGGGGATCAGCAAGCATCAGGGACACACTGGAGGTCCCCCAAAAGCAAGAAGCTGGAAGCACAGTGACGCAGAGCCAGAGATGCCCATTGGGAAGCCACCACTGCTGTCACCATTGTCACTAGTCAGGCAGCCAGGGCTGCAGGAAGTGCCTCTGAAGGTTTTCTTCGCTCCAGGACCACTCACTCCAGAAAGAGAGTTCCAGGGAGAAGCTTGTAACTGGCCCCGTTTGTGTCATGGACCTGTAACAGACCCTTCGCCTTTTGATTCATGGGGCCACAGAGGAATTAGCCTCCCACCAATTCTTCCCGTAAAGGGGAAGAGGTAATTCCTTCAAAGAGTTTATGTCCTTCAAGAGGAGGCACGCAGAGCACCACACCTTGCCTCTGCGCAGATTTTGTACATTTTATTTTTAGCGCTCATAGACTTGTTCTGTCCCCACTGTGGGTTTTATGTGATGTGGACTGAGTTTTTAAGGATTCAGACTCTCGTCATATTTGGGTATGTGAAGTGTGTACTTGTGAGTCTGTTATAGGACAGGGAGAGGGGCAGCCCAAACCCCGCAAACCTGCCTATTCTAAATGGGTTCTGCCATCCGCCGCATCAACACAAAACATAGGAGACTTTAATGGGAACGAACTTTAATACAATTAGGAAACAATACAGGAAAGGCAAAGAATCTAGTTTGTAAATCAAGCCCCAAAGTGACCCGTCCCCTCGTGGGTAAAAGTCCATCCAAATGGGATCGGCCCAGAGCAAGGCCCCAAAGCCTGCCACAAGTCTAAAGCACCTTCCAGTGGGGACCCACAGAAAAGGGTCAGAAACAACCAGACAAGCCCGGAAGGAAAAGAGCAAAATCAACATCAAGATAAAAGCTGCCATGGTCACCTCCCCACGGGTCTCACCCACATCTGGGTCACCCAGTCCACGACCAAAAGACAAGCGCAGTTTCTTCACGTGTCTCTAGGCTCCATGCGCCTCCTCCAGGTCTCCTGGCTCCATCCTGCTTCCTTCCTTCCTCAGTCTCTTCTGCCGCTTCTCCTCTTCCTGCTCAGCCCCACCCTCCCTTAGGTGGGGCAGGGAACCTCCCCCTTTCCTGGGGACCACCCTGTTACAAGTCCTTGACATTATTAATAGACAAAGGCATCAAGTACCATTATCAGTTTTTAACTCATGGTAGCTGCACCCGATTATTTTAAAGGGGAAAAGAAAAGTAAAATTATTCAGGTGTGTTCCATAACATCTTTGAAATGTACTTGAAAATCAACTTGAAGGGAGTTTTTCTTACCTGAGAGCTGTTCTCAGAGAGGTCAATTTTGCCCCTCAGGGGACATCTGGCCAGATGTCATTTTTAATTGTCACAATGTGGGGTGGGGGGTGGCGGGCTACTCAGGCCTCTAGTGGGTAGAGGCTGGGATGCTGCTAAACACCCCACAATGCACAAGGCAGCCCCCACAGCAAAGAGGGAGCTGGAAGAAAATGTCAGGGTTGTCAGGTCTAGGAACTGCCTCATAGTCTTGATAAACAGGGCTGCTAAAAAAAAAAAAAAGTAAATACATTAAATAACTAAATAAATAAACAGGGCTGCTGGGGGTCTATTACTGATGGGTCTAGTGCAGAGTGCACAGGGCAGGCTCACTGTCGACTTGGGCAGACGGGTAGAGTCCTGGAGTCCTCAGTGGGTATTTACAGGACCTCAAAGCTCTCTCAGGGAACCAGGTACACAGGCACTCCAGGTCTGGAGGCTGCATGCAGGGAGGCAGGCACTGGACAGGGGGGCTGAGAGAGAGAAAGGGAGGCAGCCAAGCCCCCCAACCCCCCACGAATCTTTGTGCTTTTGCCTCAGAATCTTTGTGCTTTTGCTTCAGAGTGGTTCCCCCAAAGCGCAGTCCTGATATCCCTGGCCTCCAGGCACAGGTGCCCCCACTTCCACATGCGCATGCCCGTGCCCTCTGGGCCCAGGTGTTCACAATCACAGGTACCCCCACCCCTC